GAAATTAAAGGATTTGATCCGATAATAATTTTGTTGAGGCAAATATCAGTTTAGTTCTTTTAGTAAACGGGATTATTGGCAGAGGAATTAAATAAGCAAAGCGGAAAAGAGTGCAGATTTTTCTAGTTTGGGAAAATGTATTTTTCAAGTGAATGTGAAAATCCTCAGCGTGAACTGAACCTACTCATAACCATCTTAAGTTTCATTGAGATTGTTTCCAAGTAAGCTTGCTTAGGTTGTATTTAATTAAATATATGAATAAACGGGAATGATACTTAAGACAAGTTTTTAAAATATTTCCTTGAGTTGGTAGCTTTCTGTTATATTCATTATATGCACTAGAAACTTATCTGGGAGGGTGATTTAATTTTTTCCGTTTTTGTTGTTTTACCAATGGTTCACTTGCTTATATTTTGCTCCAGTGTATTTTATTTTTATAGTCTAGTTCCAGAATCTCTTGGCAACTTTAAGTCTTGTGGACTTCAATTCCCAGAATTCCCCAACCCATATGGCAGGAAGTCATAAAATTGCTAAGTTTGGAGGCCCCTGATCTAGTTCATTGCTATGAGTAACACTTTTTGCCTAGAAAGAATTTTAGAATACGTAATAATTGGCAGATCTATCCCCAATTAGCATACAGTGGATAGCTTTCAAAAATTGTCCTGGAATCAGGTGCCCACTAATAGTAATATACACTATTATTCTGCCAATGACTGGTTACTTGTTTGTAATAAAAAAAAATCTTCCATCTTTATATATGCTGATATGGAAAAATTATTATTACAAATAGATATTACAAATAGATATTACAAATATTATTACAAATAGTAGCTTCTGAAACACCATCACTCCCCCCACCCCCATCCACGATTAGATTGGCCTTGATCTTACCATCTCTTAGTAAAAGTATTGCAAAACTGGATGTGCTCCAGGGGATGGAAGCAGAATGTTAGATGGTCCATGAGTGGTCCTGCCACAGTCTTATTGGATGCTTTGGGAACAACTGTACCACAGTTTTTTAAATGTTTTGTTGATACTATTCACTTTTTATTTTTTGTAATGTGTTATGAACCACACAGAATTTAATTTGTAAAGTGGATATTCATAACAGTTGATTTAGTAAATAAAATTATTTATTTGGTGACAGAAGATGAAATTTTGGTAAGATGTAACCAAACTCTTTTTAAATATTAAATGTTTGTTATCAGACAATGAATGTCTAGGCATTGCTACTCAATACTGCTATGTTTTCATAGGTTACTCTTCTCTGCTCTACATTTCACTTGTTGGATTGTGTGCTGTAAGAATCATCAGTCAGCATACAAGTTTTATAAATTTATGTAAGATTTGGGCACAAATGGGCATTCCACTCCAAAATACTGAATCCCCTCCAAATTAGTATATTAACAATTGCAGCACTTGTGGGAATCAATCCTATGAGAGATATAGGTTCTTGATAAATCTTGCTATTAATGTATTGCCATTCAGTTGGATACCATTTAAAAAAATATTTGGCATAATTTTAATTATTAAATCCATTAAAATGTTGGTTACATATGTATATACTGTAGCAAGCCTTTTCTGAAATAATTTAGTTGTAAAATGCAGGTGCATAATTTTAAGGAAAAATATTTCTGAACTATAACTGTATGCAAACTGATATAAGCTTAACTCAATCGGCTATGTATATTTAATTGAATGAAAGAGAAGCATTTGCTAAAGTAATCATTATGTATTGCAGTTTTCCTGATACTTTTAACTGGATCTTCTAGAACTCTTGGCCTTTGGCAATGTTAGTTGGGAATTCAGGGTATTCAGGATACCAGATTGGAAAGACTTAATTATCCAAAATATAACATTATTGAAGGATTAATAGAAATGTGCTGCTGTCAACAGAAGTTGGTAAATTGTTTATCTAGTTAGGAAGACAATTCTTAACAAAGGAGTTATATATAAAGGTAAAGCAAAAGTTTGATCCTTATACATATTTTTCTTGTTTCAGAGATCAGTTTCAAATTAGATGAGAAAACAGCCCACAGCAGCTTGGATTTATTCAAAAAGGACACTGGGGTCCTCTATCGTATGCTGGGGATTGACCGTACCAGAGTGCCTCAAAACCCTGAACGCTTCAGAGACTGGGCTGTAGTTTTGGGTGACACTACCATCTCCATGGGCTGCCATTACTGGGAAGTGACTGTGAAACGATCACAACAGTTCCGCATTGGGGTGGCGGATGTGGACATCTCCCGGGAAGTCTGCATAGGAATGGATGACAATTCCTGGGTCTTTGCTTTTGGGAATCGCTGCTGGAATGCCATGTTTGCTAATGAAACTACTCCAATCACTAACATTGGCCAACCAGAAAGAGTCGGCCTATTCTTGGACTATGACCACAAAAGATTCAGCTTGGTAGATATACAACAACACATGTTTATCCACAATACGTCGCCAGAGTTCCGAGGTCCTGTGGTGCCTGCCTTTGCCCTCTGGGATGGTGAATTGCTCACCCACTCAGGCCTGGATGTGCCTGAGAAGCTCAAGCAAAGTTGAAATCTATTCAAGAGCGTTGATACTGAGATTTTTTTTCCTTCTTTCCTTACCTTTTGAGAGTGAAATTTGCCATCCTTTACTTGTGCCATATTTATCTTGCACTGCTATTTTGGTTTTGTCAGGAAAGGGTTGCTTAAACAATGAGTTTTTTAAAGCAGCAATTGTTTATGTGATCAGCTGCACCATTTGATACCTTACCTCATAGGTCTCTAGTTCTGTAGGAGTCAGGACATTCTCTTCTCCCACTGTGTTGCAGAACTATTCTAGAAATTATTCTGCCTCAGAACCATCAAAGAGCCAGTCAAAGTCATTACCACAAAGAGTAGTTGCCTTGGGATAGATGGTTTTCAAGACTTCTACAAATCCTGTTCCTGTCAATGGCCTCCATCAGGAAAGCTCTGGAGCATCTCTATGTGAATATGTTTGGATTGTTCCTCTAAGCCATTTGCATCAAACATAAGCAAGCAATATCTCAATCTGACTATAAAAGGACCACTTGATGCCCTTTAATTATATAAGATTTCCTTTTCCTGTTAGAAGTATTTGCTCAAGCTTTCAGATATTTGAAGGAGATTTCCATTTTGATAAGAACAATGATTTTTTTTAACACAAAGGATCTATTGCCTCCTGCTGGTGGGGTGGGAGGAACTGAGTAGATGGCATCTCATGACCAGTGAAAATCCAACTCTCCCGAATTTATAAACAGTACAGTGCACAAATTAATGTTGTGGGAATTACTTTATTAATACCAGCCCCAGATTATCCTGTGTTAATTGGTTGAAACAATAAGAATTGACCCAATACACATCTGCAGATACATATATTCATCGAAAAGGAACGATAAAGAATTTGCTACAGTTTATTACAATCACCATAATTAAAATTTAGCTGAAATCAACAAATATTTAAGCAGTGTTTTCTTTTTCTTGATGTTGGATGTAGCAAGAGCTGTATGCTCTTCTGTATGCTATGTTGATAACTGTAATAAGTAAAAATAAAAGCATCTTAAACAAAACGTTATTTTATCTGAACTTCTGATTGAAAATATCCACTGTTTGGAAATTTTATCACCAAAGAATGCACATAGTAGTTAAAAAGTCTAGATGGGTAAAGTAGCCTACCAACCTTGCAAGAGTGTCAGGCTGGCAGCAACAGTGAAACGTAGCATTTTACTGCTTCAAGGTTTCAGTTGTTCCTGTTCCATAGTGACTGATTTATGACGGGTATTTTGCCATTCTACTCTAAAATAGCTGAACACTTTCATTGCAGCAGTAAAGTAGCTGCTGAAAAGAGAGGTGCAGGAAAAATTACAGTGCCATTTCAAGCAGCCAATGGAATGTCTTTTGCCACGTTAGAAGAACATTGCAAGATTGCACATATTAGCCCTCTGGAATTCAAGGGGGACATCTCCTGTGTGGCAATGCATGTGCTTAGGATTCGGCAGCATTTTTCTATATATGGGGGTAATGACTGAACCTGAAGTATCTTTCTCCATACATGTGATTGATTTTTTAGAGTGGAGGAGAGAAATGACTGATTGGGGTGTGAACAAGTATTTGAAGTAGTGACCCAGAATACGAGACAGCAACAATGTAGATAAAAGGAAAGCTATTTCCCCATTTTTGCTTTCCGTTTTGGTGCTTGTGTAAATTATTTTTAGCTCCTTGAGTTTGGCTTTCTCAAAATGGAGGCTTGTGAGTGATTGCAAGTATCATAGAAGTCATGTTGTGATTGTGCCTGTAACATGTTGATGAAAAGTTTCAAATCAGCCAGATAGAGTGGTTTGAAGGTTGTCTGAAAGTTGTCTGGTTGAATCATTGCAACTGGACTAATTTTTTTGTTGTTAGTTTGAGAAATGTTTGTGCATGTAACGCACAATTTCTGTTGGCTAAGCGAGACAGTTGCTAAGTGAGTTTTGCCCCATTTTACGACCTTTCTTGCCACACTGCTTAAGTGAATCAGTGCAGTTGTTAAGTTAGTAACATGATTGTGTGAATCTGGCTTCCCCATTAACTGCTTATCAGAAAGTTGCAAAAGGTGATTGCATGACCCTGGGATGCTGCAACCATCATAAATATGAGTCAGTTGAGTTGCCAACCATCTCAATTTTGATCACATGTCCATGGTGATGCTTTAATGGCCACAAATTACTTTTTTCAGTGCCTTATAACTTTGACTGGTCAGGTAAATTAACTGTTATAACCCAAGGACTACCTGTATCTTTTTGCTGCACGCACCTTACGTCATTCTAATTCATTTCTTAAATGCCACAGTGAGAGTACTATATTGAAAGAAGTTATGCAGTGTCATATCACAAAGTTTTGCTCCAAAGTGCAGAATATATTGTATGGCTTCTAGCAAGCAAGGCAGACCTGGGAAATGCACAGACTGCATCCCCTTTTTGTAGTCCCCACCATTCTATCAAATCACACAACCAAAATTTGATATCATGCTTTTTTTTTGATGGAAACAAGTAGCAGAATAGATGCACTACATTTCTAATTTGGTCATCAGCTACTGCACTTTAAAAATCAATTCCCTAAAAAAGTAAGAGTTATATCTCCACACCCTCCAGTGGCATAACTGTATTATGAGATAGCCCTGCAGCCTTCTCAGATGGTGTGGGTGTAGGAAAGGGAGTGTAACTGAAATAGCAGAAATGGTTGACTATTTTTGAAGGTGGGGACAGACAAAAGTCAGAATTCATTAAAGACAAATATGTTTTCCCTTCTTGCTTAAATACCTATTGGGGGAATGGTTGGACAAGGGAGATAACGGATTCATAGTGGAGAAAATGAAAAATATTCACTGTGGAAGCTTCATTAAGTTACAAAATTGAAGGAGACAGGAATTGAAGAACCCCTTTTCCTTAAATGCGTTTAGCATTTATAGTGATAGCTGCTTGGATTTTATCAGGCAACCCAAAATGGCATTCTTTTTCTCCTTTTTCTGCAGCTAAAATTTCTTTCTCACCAAAAGTTACTATCTCAATTCCTGGGGATTTTATCGATTTTACTTGTACTGTCAAAGGGGAGTACTGAACTTTCATACAAGGTTCACCAGGGAGAGTCTCTTGTACAAGACAGTTATGGAAAAATACAACTCTGCATTGCTCAACTGTATGGAGTAGTTTGGAATGAAGAGAATGTAGTCTCTCCCTTTATATGTCTCTCTTCTTCTTCAAGTCCTTAGCAGTAGCATGTTTACCCTTACACTCCTTTCAGAAGTGAGATGAACTAGTCAAAACAGGGATAACAAAGCAATTACAAAAACTATCATTCTCACACCATACTTTCCAAATTCTCCTTGGAGAGATCCTCAGCTGCTTCTCTGGTCTGTCTGGAACCCAATATGTAGCTTTCTTGATAATCCTTGAGCAACTTTACCACTTCCAGGTGATGAAACTGGATGGCATCATCCAAGGCAATGTTTCCCCATCTGCAAAGAGGGCAACACTATGAAGATGTGTAAATTGAAATCAATGTCTATTGAAAGCTTTTCAGCCTGATGGCCTCTAATGGGTTGAGGCTATAACTCTCGTAATTTCTAGCCAAAGGCCATAATGACTAAAAATCCCGGGAATTATGTTCCCAACTTATATTGAAGATGTCAGAATGGAGAAGACTGTCCCAGGTGCTGAGGAACAACCAAAACCTTGAATCACCTCTTTCTCAACTAAGCAGATTGTCAACCCTGAAACTGACCTGACAGAAGCCATTTTTGATAGCTTCAGTGTTGCCACACTGGAGATGAGGGATAGAGAGGGGGGAGATGGTTGAGATACTGTAGCCAAAACAAAATATTTTCTCTTGGAAACCAAGGACATTCTCACACCTGGTTGGAGGAAGGCAGAGTGATGTCACCCGGCAGCCAGACCGCACCGTGATTGGATCATGTGACTTGATTGTTTTGAGAAAGTGGGAAAAGTTTTACTTTTAGTTAGGTGAAAACTGTGGAAGTCCTCAGAGTCAGTTTTCACCAGAACTGTGCCAATATATTTTCAATGAAGCTATTCTTTGAGGAATCTACCTGACTTGGAGTTTTGCTTGATATGGAATTATTACTTGGAACCCTGACACAGATCAAAAGTAAGTATGTATGGATCAGGTTCTATATTGGCTTAAAATTAGGACAATTTATATATCCCCCCATCAAGTACTATATTACAAAGATTACTTGATAATTTTATACTATGTTACAAAATAAATATTATTATTAAAACAAGTAGAGCTTTATATTTCTGGAGTATGAAATCATGTTGCATTACACTAGGTAGGATAAGTTCTTAGGCCATCATTGTTCATTGAAAATCTCCCAAAAGCATGATATGTCAAGTGATAATATTTCCCCAAAGTTATGACACACTTTATTGACACAAGGAGTCAGACTTAGTATTGTTATGGCAGTGTCTGGTGTACCAGAGAAAAAAATAATAAGAGACTTGTCAATATCCGACTCTGAATTAACAAGCATGCTAAATTGAAACAAGAAATTAGACCTCAGGTTACCAATATATGAACCTTTTTTCTACTCTGGATCATTGACTGAAATGCATCCTTTTTTCACAACTAAAGGAGAGAGAAGCTAAATTACAGTTGAGACCTTTAGATATGTATAGATGTCACGATAGTCACATTGCATTAGACTAAACTTTTAATTTGTTCACAGTTCGGTTCCAAGAGAGGCCAACCAGCCCTAAAACAAGTTATGAGTATGCAAACTATTTGAGTAACAAGAATAAGAAACTAACTTGATCAAGGAATTTTAGACAGAGAAAGAGGAAATATATTACAGGCAGCTGCTGCTTATGCTGAATAAAGTGCCTAACTTTACTATTAGGAGAAACTAGGTCTAAGATTTTATAATTCTGTAAGTAAAAAACAAGATCTTGAATCTGTAACTGTCAGCCCATTGTTCCTCACCTGTCCTTGACAAAAGGATTGATTCTGCAGGCCTCCATCAGAAACTTCACAACCTCCAGATGTCCTGTGGAGAATCATACAACTGGAACAATTTAAAAAGAGCCTCTTCTCTCTTTCCAAAGATGAGCTTTTGAACTACTCCCAAAACATCATGCAACATGGAACCTAGTCTACAGAGTTCTTCAAGGTGAGGGACTGCAGAATGGGGGCTACCAAGAAAGTCACAGCAGATATTTCAAGGATGGAAAAGTTTGTTTCTGTTCAGTTATGTAAGCTCTCATTGTAGGATGCAGATTTCTAAAGAATCTCTTGCTGTTCAGCGACACAGATCAGAAGAATTGACAAATTAAGAATTATTCTGATACCGTACATGTATGTTTCTCAGAATGCTTACACCATCTCTTAGGAAATGTACTTGGGGAAATTATTGTGATTGTGCAATTAGAGGTCCCCTGTTGTTTTTTCTCGAGAGCAACTGGACTTTCTGATTTTTCCTTGAAGACAGATTAACAGAGTTGGAAGTGATCTTGTAGATCACCTAGTCCAAACCCTCACCCAAGCAGGAGACCCTACACCATTGCTGACAGATGGCAGTCCAGTCTCTTCTTGAAAGCTTCCAGTGATGAAGCTCCCACAAATTCTGAAGGCAAGCTGTTCCATTGGTTGATTGCTCTCACTGTCAGAAAATTTGTCCTTATTTCCAGGTTGAATCTGAAGACATTTTGCTTCTCATCCAAGAAGCTTCTTCAGCTCTAGGAAAAGTCAGGTCAGAGCTGAAGAAGCTTCTTGGACGAGAAGCAAAACGCCTTCAAAGAAAAAACTAGAAAGTCCAGTTGCCTCTTGAAAAAAGCACCTTTCGTACAATCATGACCTGGGTGACTGAGAATCTTCATAGACATTTAGAGATCCCATGCTCGCTATAAGAGTGAGCCTTTTTATTTTGGAGTGAGACAGCATCATTTATTTACACCCTTATTTTTAAAAACACTTTAAAAATACCCTCCATTTAATATAGGTAGTCCTCAATTTACGACCACAATTGAGCCCAAATTTTCTGTTGCTAAGTGAGACATTTGTTAAGTGAATTCTGCCCCATTTTACAACTTTTCTTGCTACATTTGTTAAGTGAACCACTGCAGTGGATAAGTTAGTAACCAAGTTGTTAAATGAACCTGGCTTCCCCATTGACTTTGCTTGTGAGAAGGTTGCAAAAGGGGATCGCATGACCCGGGGACACAGCAACGGTCATTAATGCGAACCAGTTGCCAAGCATCCAAATTTTGATCATAGGGATGCTGCAAAGGTCATAACTCTGAAAAATGGTCATAAGTCACATTTTCAGTGCTGTGGTAACTTTGAACAGTCTCTAAATGAACTGTTGTAAGTTGAGGACTGCCTGTATGGGAATGTTTGGGATAATGTTTGGGAAAAAATTATCCAGCCTGGAGACGGAAATATATAATATTTAAATTTGCTTAACATAAATCTTGCAAGTCTGAGTACAACTTGCAGTTGGAGGAATAAGCATTGTGCTTCTAGGAGTCTCAGTCATATGACATTGAACAGTTAATTTTTCCTTCCTTTATTTTGTTTGGTGGTAGGGATACCAAGGGATACTAAGAAGATGATGACACCCATTTAAGGCAAAGCAATTCCATAATAAATGTCTGGGAGAACATAGAATTTCCTATCTTTACACCTGAAATTGCTTTGGATTTTTAGAGAGATCTAAATGTAGGAAACTTCATAAATTGATAGAATTCCCTTCAATGGCAGTATTGTATTTACTGCGTACTAAATACTTTTCACCTTTTACTGATCCTTTTCATACAGCATCTTCCCTCAGATCCAATACATTGTTTTTTTATGAAGGCTTATTGTTTTAAAGTGCACTCTGACTAATGGTGATGGATCAATATTATATTGAACTTACATGAATGAAAGCATTGCCTTCCCCTTCACAAACCCCCTTCGCCATTTTTGTTAGAGATGAGCCCAATTACAAAAGGTCTGGTATATGTTTAAACCAGTGGCCCCCAGCCTTTTGGGCAGCAGGGACTGGTTCTGTAGAGAAAGACCAGAGATGGGGCTTCACTTGTTCGCACGGCCCAGTTTCTGGCATGCCACAGCCCAGTGCTAGTTCACAGAGGGGGGGGGGGGGGTTGGGGAGCCCTGATTTAAACCATGCAAACATGTAGGTGTAAATGTGGATATAGAGCAGGTGCTTAGAAATCACGGCAGATTTGCATCCTGAACATGATACCTTCAGCTGCAGCAACATGCAAGGCCGTGCGAGAGTCATAGTCTTTCTGTTCCATGTCCATAGCTGAAAGAGCAAACCTAGAAGAAAGCCAAAAGGACAGAGTTAAATGTCATGGAAGGAAATTTCACTTATTTCACTTATATTCAAGATCTCTCTTCAGCACCCTCTTTCCCTGAATAAGTAAAATCATACCTCCGAAGAGCAGAGATATCTCCACTGTGAGCAGCAAACAGTAGATTCACAACAGTCTTGTTCTGAAAAAAATATGAAGTATATTGAGCACATCTGGCTTACAGTAACTCATCTTCATGATTTTGGAGGCTTTTAAAAAAGTCTCCTAATGAAATTTTCCACAACTGGGTTAGAATATAGCTAAAACAAGCTTCCAGTTGACTAGGATGGAGGAAAACACCTTCATTGCAGGCAGTGCTGGTTGTTGTTTCCTCACAGTTTTCTTATACACCATGACTGATCAACTATTTGTGCAACTGAATTGAGGATGGAAAGGCATCCCTGCACATCCACTTCTTCAGCTTATTTGTAACAGCAGGAGCACAGCAAAGGTTGCAGATCAGAGCTTCATGGGATCCAGAGTGGATGGTTATATTGCATGGATGGATGGATTCTTGAAACCAAGAAGGCAAAGATCTCCCATGGTTTTAATAATTGTATTGTCCTGAACTGAGAGCTCTCTAGGTTGGCAATCCTTACACTGTACTGTCTAGGACTTCTTGATAAATTGATGCACCTGAAACTCTCTTTTATACATCTTAAGCCCTGGGCCATTCACCAACCTCTGCTATTCTAACCTTCTTAAGTCCTCTAAGTTTCTCTTCCACTCTAGTCCACTTAAATCTGTAGTATCTTTCCAATACAAAGGCTCTTGTCTCTTACCCTAACTTCATCTCCTTCACGGCGTGGATCCATCTTGCGGGTACAATGCAGCAAGTTGTCATAGTTGTGAAAATTGAAGAGGGACACCAATTCCTGAAGAAATAACAGTCAAAAGACAAGAATAAACATCAAAAAGAAAAGTTATAAAATAAACTGTGTAGTGCTTTCTAGTAATAAGTTCAAAGAAGGTGAAAGGAACACCAACATCCAAGATGCCACAGAACAGTGGTTCTTAAACTATGGGCTTTTTCATCCAAGAGACTAATTTGAACATATCCTGGGAGTAATGAAACAATTTGTAGTTGCTTGTTAATGACTTGATGTTCCAGTTTGGAACTCCTGCTGCAAAATGCTTATGTAAAATAACAATCTGGGGATTTTCTTTTGTGTGTGAGGGTAATGATATTTGAGACCAGGAAAGGGGGTAATTAAGTTAATCTGTTTAAGAATCATTGCATTAGAAGATATTCCCTACTTACAAAAATATCTATATTAGAAGATGAAGTCAGATCAGTACTCTGGTTATTACCAAATCCAAAGACAATAGGAATTGATGAAATAGCTACAAATATGTGACAAACAACAGAAAAACAATCAGTTCTAGTTTGGCTCTAACCAAACCAAGCCAGAAAATCTGAAGTACGAGACCCTAGCCAACAGGTCCAAACTTCTAGTACCAATTTCAAAGAAAGAAGACTTAATAAAATGTGCAAACAATTGCCCCAAATCCTTAACTCCATATGCTAAAAAAAAAAAAAAAAAGCTCAGTATCATCCAATGCAGATTGGAGCCCCTTGTGAAAAGGAAAATACCAGATGTTCAAGTTCATTTTAGAAGAAGCCAAGAATCAAAAGGCAATCCTGCTAAGGCATGCTGGAAAATCTAAACATCCAAAGAACATCAGAAAGAATCAATTATTTTATGTTTTATTTATATGCCACTTTAATCTTTTTATAACCAATTTAAGGAGATGAACATAGCTAATACTCCATCATCACCCTATGTTCTTCACAACAACAACCCTGTGAGGTAGAGTGGGTCAAGAGAGAGAATGCCTGTCCCAAAGTTACCCAGCAGGACTAGAACTTACAATCTCCTGATTTCTATCCTGATACCTTAACTAGTAGACCAAACTGATTTTTAGTTCATGCTTCACTGACTACAACATGTCTTTTTATATTATTGACCTAAGTAATATCCTTAGGAAAATGGAATCTCAAATCACCCATAACCTCATGTGAAACTTATAGAGAAGACAGAAAGCCACAATCCAGACAGAACATGGCAAAACAGACTGGCTCCAGATTGATACAGAAATGAAACAAGGCTATAGATTCTCTTCTCCATATTCACCCTATAATATACTTAATATATAGTGAAGGAGGCTGGATTGGAAGAAGATGAGAGTTGGTTTTAAAGCTTGAAGAAAATAACTCAATAAGCAATGCAAATGATCTAGAACGGGGCTGTCAAACTTGTGACGTATCGTGACTTTCCCCACCTTCACTAAACTGGGCATGGGCATGGGCATGGCCAAGCGTGTGATGCATCCGGCCTACAGGCTGCAAGTTTGACAGTCCTGGTATAGAAGCTCTACTTATGAAACTCAAGGAGCATGGAGGAAATTGGATTAACTATAAGTGTAAACTATTAAAAAAGTACAGCAGCCAACCTTCATACTAATTTAAGACAGGTAGCTTCTGTCTTTTAGGACTGATTGTCTAGCAAAGGAACTAGCAATCAAGAAATAAGTCACAAACTAGCATTTGGTGGAAGAGAAATTAAAGCCTGGAAAAGATTTTCAGATTACGACAATGTGGCTACCTATAAATATCAGAATCATGCATGAAATTCTTTTCCCTGGGACAGTCTACGGAAGCAAAAGTCAAACTCTGAAGAAGCAGGATAGAAAGAGTATTGACACTTTTGAATATAGGTGTCAGAGAAGCTTCCTGAGAATACCATGGACAACCAACAAACAAATGGATCAAAGGATAAATCAATCAGGAATTCTTATCCGAGACTCAAATTATCATATTTTGGATTTGTTATGCAAAAACTTAGCCCCTTGAGAAATCCAGGATGCTAGAAAAAGTGGAAGAAAAGAAAAAGAAAAAAGACAACCAATAGCAAGGCTGATGGATTTGATTTCAGCAGACATGAATGCATCACTGGAAGACCTGAAGGGCCATGGTGAGGACAGATCACCTTGGAGAAGTTTTATTATGTAGTTACTAAGAATCAACATCAACTTGTTTATTAATGCCAATATAATCAAGAATTTCAAAATTTGGCATACAAAAACTTCAGCTGTTCAAGTGCTTCATGGAAAAACTATTTGTACTTTCTTGTAGATGTCAATGTTGATATGTTTTCATGGTTATGACATAAATTTTTTTCCCAATTGCCCTTCATTTAATATTTTTCATTTCTATCTTTATTCTAGTATTACTCATAAGAAACAGAGACTGGGAGAGTGGCCTGCAAAAAAGCTCAGCCCACCCATCAACCCAGTTCTACCACCTTTCCATCCATGATTCTCACAGGCTCCTTCTGTCATGTCTGTAGTTTCATGAAATTTACCTGACAAAACCCAATTCCTCTTGTGCTGTTGCCAGCTTTATCCAGAGGGGGCGATAGACACATCACTCCCATAACATTGGGCACCACCAGCAGGATAGCCCCAGAGACTGCAGATTTGGCAGGAAGACCAACCTGGTAATGAGAAAGAGATTATGTGAAGGATAAAACAAGTCACATTTTAAGTATCTCAAAACTCTGCCTCCTATTCAGCGTTAAACCAAATAAGTATAATTGAGGGACAAAGAGATAAAGTTGATTGCTGCAAATGGCAAAGCAGATACCCAATTTGCAGTATTTTCCAGTTGTATTATTAATTCTGGAAGCTCTTTGCAGGTGTAAATTGGGTTTTGCCTGGTGCAAAATTACATTTCATGCTGGGCTGGGAAAATGAAACTGGTGGCTATTACCATGCAGATGAAGCAGGGAAATAGCACTAGAGAGATGCATTTCTGAAAGCAGAAGTGGATCTGTATACAAGTACTGTAACCACAAATTCTGGTCTGCTACACGCACACCTATTTTTAAGAATGGTGCATTTCTGGGTTGTTCCTCCTTTGCAAAGCACCATGAAGAAACAAGTGCCCAAGAGAGGAGATTGCATTGCATAACTCTTAAGAAGTGCTCTATATTTTTCCAGAGGATGTTAGTGTACTGCTGTCAGAACTGAGCTGAAATCAACACAAGCCAAGAAGTATCCTATAGCATCTCAAGCCTCAGCACGTTATAGCAGCAAAGTGCCCCCACTTCCCCCTGAAGCACAAATCTCCAGCATGGACATAAGCCTCTCTCCTCATAATCTTGAATATTCGCGTGAGGCAAATAAGAGTATGAGGCAGTTGGTACAATCTTCCTAGATCTAGTTCACATCTCATACTATGATATAATGTGGCTTATTTGTTTTTAGGTAATGGAATAGCAGAATTGGAAGGGACCTTGTAGGTCATCTAGTCCAAAACCCTGCCCAAGCAGGAGACCCTACGTCATTTCTGACAAATTAGTTGACTATATCAGGGGTCGCCAACCTTTTGGACCTCAAGGATCACCAAACTCATAATTTTAGACCCCAGGGACCATTAACCGGTTCTGTGGGCATGGCCTAATTTGTGGGTGTGGCTTGGTGATCATGTGACTGGCTGGGCATGGCTTGTATTTACATAAATATTGATTTTTTTATAAAAAAGAGCAACTTTTACCCAAAATCAGGCAAAGCAGGCAGATTGAGTTGCTCACAGAATCACAGATTCATTCAGAAATCTATCTATCTGCCATTGACTAGCTCAGTCTGTCACATAAAATTTGCTTGCAAGCAAACTCATAAAATTTGCTAGCAAGCAAATTCACAAAATTAATTCACAACACACCATGTATATAAATATTGACATTTTTATATAAAAAAGCAACTTTTATCCAAAATCAGGCAAGGCAGGCAGAATGAGTTGCTCACAGAATCATTCAGTGATCTATCTATCTGCCATTGGCTAGCTCAGTCTCTCAAATTTGCTTGCTTCAGTCCTAAGGGAGGTTCGGCTGTGCTTAGCTAGAAAGCAAGAAATCCAACCATTTCCTGCTTCCTAGCTAAACTAAATCTCCCGGCATAGCTGAACAGATGATGGTCGGAAAAAGGAAAAATAGCAACTTAGCAGACAAATTTGCTGGGTAAGGAGTGAGTGGGTGGGGAGGGTTCCCGCGGGCCATGTGGGCTGAGCAGCCTTGTGTTTCTGCGCAGCCTGGATTAATTGCTTTGGGGGGCTGCTCTGGGGGTGAGATTTCTCTGCGGCCCACCAAAATTTTCTCATGGCCCACCGGTTGGTGACCGCTGGACTATATCGTTTGAACTCAGGCAATTGTACAGGTAGTCCTTGACTTACAGCCGTAACTGAGCACCACATTTCTGTGGCTAAGCAAGACAGTTAAGTGAGTTTTGTCCCATTTTATGATTTTTCTTGCCTCCGTTGTTAAGTGAATCACTGCAGTTGTTGAGTTAGTAACATGGCTGTTAAGTGAATCTGGCTTCCCCATTGACTTTGCTTGTCAGAAGGTCTCAAAAGATGATGATGACATGATTGTGGGACACTGTAACCATCATAAATATGAACTAGCTACCAAGCAATGCCAGTTTTGATCACATAACCATGGGGATGCTGCAACGGTCGTAAGTGTGAAAAACAGTCATGAGTCAGGTTTTTTTCCAGTGCAAGTCACAAAATGAATGGTTGTAAGTCAAGGACTACCTGCACTTTATTAAATGAGGCAAGCCATGACATAGGCCTCAGCATAGTATAGGAACTTGCAAAAGTGTTTCTGCTTCATTTCCATCTACATATGATATTTCTTTGGTCAAGTGATATTCAGTAGTACTCAATTCATCTGACCATTTCAATAGGATTAGCCTTTAGAAAACAGTCCCACAATAACGGACTAGTCCAGGGGTTTCCAACCTTGGTAGCTTTTAAGCCTAGGGGAACCAACTCCCAGAGTTGAAATCTGCCAGGCTTAAAGTTGCCAAGGTTGGAGACCCCTGGATTAGACAACTATATAAGAGACTGGAAACCGTTTGTGGACTTTCTATATGCTAAATATAATAACAGATGGTTAACAGAAGGATTTGAAGAATAGTTTAATGTATGTTTTTGTTTTTGTTTTTACTTTGTTTGTTTTACTGTTTTATATTTTATTTTCTATGATAAAACAATAAATTTACATTAAAAAAAAAGAAGAGAATTCCCACTGAGATCAGTTGCCATGAAAATAGGCCTACCCTCTTTCTTCTGGCTCCTCACTGCTGTGTCTTCTTCCAACCCACCCAAAACAGAGCAGAAACTTACATGGAAGGCAAACTGTCCCGAGAAGTCGTACATGCCACAAGAATATATGAGGCTAAGGGTGTTGCGGATGGCTTCATCACTGAGGACACACTCGCCTGTGATAGGGCAGATACCACCATTGGCAAGCGTGGCTGCCATGACACTTCCAGACTCACAAGTCACTTCGACAGAACACAACTTCATAAGGGGCAGGAGGGAAAGGTTAAACAAAAAATAATAATAACATCTTAGTAAGAAGCCCAGAAATCATTCCTAACCTTTGCTTGAAGTGAAAATTCAGGGTCTATATACACATGTGGTTTAACACAGAAAAAACACCTGATAGAATATTTCTTGAAAACGAAGGATTGCATTTGTGAATTCTGATTATGTGAAAGTCTCTTTTCAAGTGAAAGAGAAACATATAAGAACAAAGAATAAAGGTTCTGGCCAAATATTCAAAATCAACCTTTTTAACCTGATGCCTGTTGTATGCATCAGTGTAAACTGTCAGTCCCAATAATCTGCTAGCTGGGGATGATGGGGATTATAGCATATTGCAGTTTGAAGACACTAGCCTGTGCAGAGGTGGTATTCAGCAGGTTCTGACCAGTTCTAGAGAACCAGTAGCAGACATTTTGAGTAGTTCGGAGAACCGGAAAATACCCCCTCTGACTGGCCCTGCCCCCATCTATTCTCTGCCTCCTGAATCCCAGCTGATCGGCTGGATCTTCTTTTGTTGCCCTGCACAGAAGAATGGAACTGGAAAGCAGGTTAGTGGGGTGGGGAGGAAATGGAGATTTTGCAGTATCCTTCCCCTGCCACACCCACCAAGCCACGCCATGCCCACAGAACCAGTAGTAAAAAAAATTGAATCCCACCACTGGGCCTGTGGGATATTAATTTAGAGCAGGGGTGGGGAGCAGGGGTCTCCAACCTTGGCAATTTTAAGACTTGTGGACTTCAACTCCCAGAATTCCTGAGCCAGCCACGCTGACCCTGATGTTCTGGGAGTTGAAGTCTACAAGTCATAAAAGGGCCATAGTTCCCCACCTCTGATCTAAAGGAATAGGTTTGAAAGAAGGAGAAAAAAAAGCACCAAAGCACCAAACTGCAATCCAACTCGGTAATATTAACTTTTTTTAAAAAAAAAAATCATCCTGAAATGGTTTAATTTTTTTGCCTCTCTCAAACTCAAAAGGATTGTTTTGGACCCAACATACCAGCTCAGCAGCAGTTCAAAATGCAACTTACCTGGAAATACAAGTCAAGAGCTGCCATCATGTCTGCACCACGTGGAAAGCACTGCCAAGTAGGGAAGCAAAGACAATAAAGTGGGGTCAGATCTTGGCAAAGTGGGGTTTCTTTCAACAAACACTGTGTTTATCCTGGTCTGCTAAAAAGCCCAGGGTTTCTCTCCCCCCACTTCCCTCTTGTTACCTTTTTGTCTTTGAGATAGTAGCCAATGGCATAATTCCGATCTCCTGTTTCTTTCTCTGACTGAAACCTGCAAAGACATGTGCACAAATCCTCATTTCTCCCAGTAACTGGATGTCTCCATTTGGAGAACTGTCATTTAGATGAAACCTGACGCTAGGCATTCTAACCACAAGCCCCACCACACACACAACACATGTGCTTTACGTGGTATTGCTGAATCCCACGTATTCATTTCCAGCCATCTTCTTCAAATAATCCACCACCTAGAACAGAAACAAACAAAAAAATTCATCCAGAAGGGAGCTCTTCTACGATCCAGTTCTTTTTTTATTTCAGTCTGGATTTTTCCAGTCTTCCCATATCCTTTCTTTCTTTTTCTGTTGCCGGTCATTTATTTGTATGCCTAACTGCGAGGTTTTTAATTTCATGTAACAGTTTGGTACCCATTTTGTTAATTATCACCCATCCTTCAAAATAAGAAGAAAAAAAACAAGCACTTTTTTTTAAAAAAAAATTGGGATTGCAAAAGAGATGCTGGACAATTGAATGCTCCTGCAGGCCGCAGCTTCCCCATCCTTGTCCTAATTGAATCAGAAATACTCTTTGTCACTTTGTCATTTAGAAAGCATGCCCTTCTGTTCTACGTGTTTTTCACCCTTCATCACTAAATATTCTAGGGGATTTTTAAACAAATGACTAAATCAAATGGCAGGATTGCAGTGCAAGATAAATGACTTGATCAGCCAGTGTTGCCAGAAAATCAATTTCTCCTCCAACCCTCCAGAAAGGGCACTGTGGAGTTTTCCAGCAGGGAAATGAAGATCACACTCACATAGTCAAACTTCTCTGCTTTATTGCAGCCCATCTGATGATGAAAAAGAAGAAAAAGAGAGAGAGAAAAATCAAATGCCTTTAGAGACACATGTGACAAATGTAAGCATCCAGGATGGTTGTTGTTAGAAAGTTTAGAAATACATTATAGGTTTAGCAATGCATTCAAAACCTTCTAGTTAAAATAGCTACAGAGGTCCTGGATCACTTATTGAAATGGGCAGAACAGCTGTTAAATCTTGTGTAGAACTTTAAGGACATGGAGGAATATTTAGCTTTGAGAGAGTAGATGAGAAGAGGCTTGAGGCTTGAGCTCCATATGGATCTGCCCTATGAAACAAGGGATCCCTCAACTTTGGCCAAGAGTGAGAGAGTAGAACAGATGCAACTCTGACAAAGGGGGAAAAAAACATAATGGGAAGATCAATGTAGCAACAGCATGTTATAGCCTATTGGTAATAGCAGGCATGACTAGAATGCAGCAAACAAACCCAAATTTTCTATAATCCCTCACCTTGGAGATAAATTGGAACCGGAATCCATCTTTATAGGATAATATCAAAGGTGATCCTTATGAAATAACCCAAATGTTGTTTCTGGGGTAGGGGAAGTAGAAGCGACAATGTGTGCATTGCAATATAGACTTTGCACCTTATGTAGAACCCCTTATATGGCAATGGGAGTTATTCACACAGTATACTAAGGCATAGTTTACCAAAGATAGCAGCTAATGGGTTCAAGCTACAAGTTAAGCCAAAATCAAACAAATCACATTCCAGCATTTGCAAAGTGAGTCCAGAGTTAATGTCTTTAATCTGAACTGTATCCAATGTCAGGGGACTCCAGCCCATGTCTAATATCAATACTAGAGCTGAAGAAACTTTACCTTGATAAGAGAGCTCACCACAATGGCTCCTGCATTCACCATAGGGTTGTGTGGAATCCCTGAATGCAAAGGAATGGATTAAAACAGGATTCTTTGAATTCTGCATCTTCCTCCTCAGTTAAGATTTCTCTAACTCACTGGCCTTCCCTATATAGCAGAATCTGGGTTGATTGGGAGGTGGAACTGTCAATCAAAGCACGGTCATATAGGGCACCTCCTTTCTGTTTACATACAGAAACTAAGGAATGATGGGTTTGGGAGGTGTAAGTAGATGGGCAAATCTGAGGAAGGCTGAGAGTTTTAGCCCCAGAAATCCTCCATCAGTCAGGGAAACAGGGTTAGGATTCTATTAATGATTGGCTATAACAATACTATAGAATCAGGTTAACTTCTTTAATACAACCCTTTAAAGTTATTTAATGTACGTCCATTCATTTTTTTGTGTTGAAGTTAGCCAAGTAACGGTTGTCCCTTATCTTCCCACATGTTCCATTTAGTCGTATTACCTCAGAAATAAATGAGAAATAAAGCTGCCTGGAGTCTTTCTAGTTTGACAGCCTTATAAATCTAAGAAAAGAAAAGGAGAATTTCTAAACCTCGGCAGGGTTATGATGTCAGGAAGACAAATAGATCTTGCAGAGATCTTGCACAGTTTATGGATGAGCTTTAAAATTAATTAATTTTACATTTTTAAAATTAACAAAAAGAAAAAGGACGTTCTCATCGAGAGGTCTGATTGGTGCCAGGTTTCTGTTGTTTTTAACGTTTTAATTGGTTGAGTTTTATAGCTTTGAAAGTGATTTTATATGTTTTTTTAAATTTTTCATTGGGAGCTGCCCAGAATTGGTTGACAGATGGGAGGCTTTATAAATGTTTTTAAATAAATAAGATGGAACCACAATTCCCAAATCCTCCCTCAGCACTGACCAACTTTTTTGGCTGAACTGTAGAAGCCATAGATCTGCAGGACCTCTGAGTTGGGGAAGAGTCATGGTAGTGCAAGTGGTTAGAATGTAGTATTGCAAGCGGACTCTGCCCACAGACAGGAGTTCGATCCTGACTGGCTCAAGGTTGACTCAGCCTTCCACCATTCCGAGGCCAGTAAAATGAGAACCCAGATTGTTGGGGGCAATATGCTGCCTCTATAAACTGTTAGAGAAAGGCTGTAAAACACTGCGAAGCAGTATATAAGTCTATGTGCTATTGCTATTGCTTGCTGTGGTCCTGTTAACAATATAATAAGAACTTTTGTTTTAATTTTTCATGTGATCCTAAATTACTGTCTCTTTGTATGCCATTATGGAGGCTTTACGGAAAATGAAAAAAAAATTCACCATTACTTTAATGAAGAATGCATATTTTTCATAGGTTCATTAAGTACCATTCACTTAATAAACAAATCATAATAAAAAGTAGGACCAATGAACTAATGGACTATAAAACATCTACCTAATAATCAAATACATATAAAAATAAACATAAGATGTTTGTAAGCAGTTCTCATTTCCCCCTTGCGTATGTCCTGTGGAAAGATCTGCCTCAATTTTGCATGGAATTTAAAGTGAATTGAAAGAGGAAAAGTTTTAATGGGACAGATGAAGATTAAGGGAAAAGCTCCCCTTCTTATTTTCCATGGGAATATTAATAGGGAAAATAGAGATACTTTATGACCAGCATTTCCATACCACCTTTCAGTACACCCAGGATTTGTACAATGTTACCATCCCGGAAGGTTAAAACAAGTATTTCACACGTGTTACACAAACTCTGGCTTGTCTTTCAACAGAAATTGCACCCCTGGCTCAGACATGTTTTCCATCACAACTGGAATGGTCTCATTCTCACAGTTAAGGCTTTTAGTAGTCAAAGGGGCTGACAAAGAACATTACCTGTGTTACAACTAGGTGTGCAAAGATTTGAACTGTGGTCGCCTGTTCCTCAGAACACGGGGGTTCCTCTCCACTACTCACCTTCTTCATTGAGAGAGAGTTTGTCGTAACGCAGCCCACTGGGCTCTTTGCCCACATACTGATGGACTCTCTCTGTGCCCAATTCACTGACAGCAACAGCATATTTTAAGGGCTTGACACATGACTGCAGGCAGAAGGGAGTCTTACTGTGGCCCATGGAATGCCTGGGGAGATGGAGGGGAGGGGGGGGGAGAGAAATGATGTCATCCCTTTTGTACCCAGTGACCTGACACTTGTGCAAAAGTTGGAATGCTGTCCCAAAAACATTGGAACGTCTCTTTATATAGGTAGTCCTCGACTTACAACAGTTCATTTAGTGATCGTTCAAAGTTGCAACGGCCGTATAAGTGGCTTATGACTGTTATTCACATTTACAACCATTGCAGCATCCCCATGGTCATGTGATCAAAATTTGGATGCTTGACAACTGGTTCATATTTATGACGGTTGCAATGTCCCGGCGTCATCTGATCACCTTGTGCGACTGTCTAACAAGCAAAATCAGAGAGGAAGGCAGATTCACCTAACAATCACCTTACTAACTTAACAACTGCAGTGGTTCTCTTAATAACTGTGGCAAGAAAGTTGAGGCAAAACTCACTTTACAAATATCTCACTTAGGAACAGAAATATTGGGCCCGGTTGTGATTATAAGTTGAGGACTACCTGTATTACAATCCCACTGAGTTTGGCCTGGTGGTTAAAACACCAGGTTAGAAACCACAAGATTGTTTTCAGTCCCCCTCAGGCAGGGAAGCTGGCCTGGTGACTTTGGGCCAGTCACTCTCTCTCAGCCCAACACACCTCACCGAGTTGTTGTTTGGGGGAAAATAGTTTTTTCCCATTCTGTAATGTCCATCATCAACACCCCCCCGCCCCGCTCCTTTTGCATCTCAGTTCTATATACACACCGTTGTCCGTCCACTGTGCAGAGAGATACACCCCAGATGTCTGAATTATATCTGGCCATTTGTGGAATGTAATTTGCTACCTATATAAAAGGAAAGAGAAGTTGTTCAGATGTGGGACAAGCCCTAGGGAAACAGTCATTACCCCTTTGCAGCCCATCAGTGGCGGATGAAGGCTCACTGGTGCCCTAAGCACTGACAAACCTTGGTGCCCCATTCCTTTGTACATACTGTACAAACGAAGCCATATTCTCAACTATGTGGTGCCCACTTTGGGCCTGGTGCCCTAAGCACGTGCTTAGTCTGCTTCGCGGTTAATGCACCACTGCAGCCCATCTAAGGGAGGGCAGTGGAGGACGTTTCTCTCATCCTCCGTTCTACACCAGTGAGATTTGGGGATTAAATGGAAACTCAGAGAAACTCAGCCTGCAAGAGTGCACTAATGAACAAAATCAGCAGCAGAGGAAGAAATCCTAGACTGCCATATACATTTGTGGTTTTATGTTATTACGACATTGCCCTCAACTTACAACCATTTGTAGCGACCGTTCGAAGTTACAACAGCACTGAAAACCGTTTTGGAGGGATTTTAGTAAGAGTTAAGGATATTTAAGGGGAGATATTCAAGTTCTGTGCAGGTTGAATAAGACAACCTCTCTCCTTAATTCTAAGGCCGGCCAGCCACACTCTTCGCCTTCTTATCTGCCACTTTCATATTCTACCCAAGCACTGGGGAGCTTTCCATACAGACTTTTTTGGGGAAGATAGCAAAGGAGTCATATCATTTACCCTATGATTGCTATGTGCAATCAGATCTTTTTACCTTGCCCTCCCTAAGTCCTTTGGTAAGCTCAAAGATCTGCTCCACGTGTGATGTAAATTCCTCAAAGTCAGGGATAATAAATTTCTTCCGGAAAGCCTGGGTCAGGAGAACTATATTGCTACTCACACACCTGGAAGCCAAAATTATAGATGAGATATTGAATGGCACATAGGAGAATAGAGTAGGATGTCTTATTTAGTGACCAAGCAGACATGAACGCTATAATGACCATTTTATCTTCTACTTCTTTGCCTTGAAAAGCAACTGACTTGACAATACCAACCAAACAACTCAGAAGCATGTTTTCCCCACTTTTCTTGCACTTTGAACATCTAAACTTAACAAGTTAGCCAGTTTTTTTTAAAGAAAAAGCTTCCAGTTTTGAAATGCTAACTGATTTATCTCCTCTCCCTATCTTTCTCTATAATTCTTTTTTTAGCTAACCTCCTGCAGTTTCTAGTTGCCATATATGAAGTCCAGAGCAAAAAAAAAAAGACACAGAATAAACCTTCCATTCCCATATATTGACTGAATTGTATACTGCACTGTGGTATGATTTGCTAAGTTGTAGTTTGTTTGCTAGACCAGAGTTACCTGGGTTCACACAATGTACTATGTTGTGATTGACAAAACTTCCAGTTTGGGTTCGTCCAACAAAGAGCCCAATCAAAAAATACTGTTAGGAATATGAGTCACCTAACAGCTATTTGGGTTAGAAATATATAAACCAGGATAAACATTTTTGTCAACAATGGAGGCTGAATTCTCATGTTTGTTTTTATTATGAACAGATTTATTTTTGTATAAACAATTATTAATTGATATGGGAATTAATATAACAGATTCTACTGTAGTTTACGAAGATAACCAATCAGCAATACAGATGGCTTCAAATATTGTTGTTAAAACAAGAACAAAACACACAGATTTAAGATATTTTAATGTGAGACAATGTGTGCAAAGTAAGATGATTAAGCTAGAATACTGTATGTCAGAAAACAATAGAGCAGATCATTTTATAAAGGCCCAGGGCTCTATAAAGCATAAGGCTAGCTGTGAAGATTATGGACTTAGAATGTAAGGTTGTATATATTATCTTACCCAAAAGGGGAGAATGTTAGGAATATGAGTCACCTAACAGCTATTTGGGTTAGAAATGTATAAACCAGGATAAACATTTTAAAACTGTAACTTTAAGAAAATGCAAAACTGTAATTAGGTGTGGTTTCTCAGACGGCCATAAGATGGAGCCAGAAATCTGGTTTGTTTTAGTCTGAATCTCAGAAGAGAGTGTGAGTGTATCTCTGTTTCCTTCTGTTGGAAAGTATTGACATTGCTCCATTTCTTCTAATTGACTGATATTACTGGATTTAATGTAAGTCTGATATTGAACCGTTTTTGACACTGGAATTTGATATTTGGATTATCCCTGGATGAAAACTGACTGATTTTACCTGTAAATGACTTTGGACTGCCTATTTTGGACTTTGCTTAACATTTCTGGAAGCAAAAACCTACATTTACTGTACAGTGTATCTGTGTGCTGTATGTTTTATTATTCAAACACTCCTCTCAAATACGTCTCCCTGTATGCGCTCATTCTCCTAACGGGGAATTACCTCAACAAATACCACATGAAAACTTAATACGTTGTTTGAATGCAGCTACCATTAAATCAGATCTTAGGAACAGAGTAGAAATTCAGCATATCCAAATAAAAAACTTGAGGTTTTTCAAAATAATTGGACATTTTTTAACATTCTAAAGCTATCCCTGTTACATAGTTGCTGTTCCCCAACATGCAAATTTAACTACTGTAGCATGTATATTGCTTAACCAAAGTAGCCCTCATGTTCTTAGGCTATGAAAAATTGTGGTGGGTCGAGGGGAAGAAGATATAGGAAGAGATGCACAGGAGATATGTGAGAATAGGAGTACATAAGGAAATCTGTGACTTGGGGTTTGCAACATGATGAATGAAAACTAAATTTGCCTGCAGAAGCTGGTAGACTTTGTTAAACAAGCGTAGATTCAGGGCTCCAGTTGCAAAGGAGCAGCTACACCACCAGGAACACTTCAATGTAATTCCTACCTCCGAAAAAGTTCTCGACTCAGCATTCCTCCACTGCTAGCTCCTTGAATTGTGGTCCGCATCAGATTCATGCAGTCCCGAAGACGTGGATCTGAGGTCCAAAGGCCAGTACGCTGTAAGGCCTGAATTAAGAACCAGTCATGGATGAAAATACGGCAAGATGAGGGTTGCTAGAACTGGATGCAGTACCCCATATTTCATCAGTATGAAGGGTGAATTCTTAATTACATTTTAGTCCATGCACGCATATGCTTTTACATGCGTGGAAAACTTCCACATGCTGTTTTTCAGAGGGTGGATGGATTTCTACTAAGAGGAAATTGAAGGCTCCAATGAAAAATCATGCATATTGCCCAGAAAAATTAACTGAGAGAATAAATTGTATTACAGGTAAAACAGTACCCATAGATACTCCGTTTCTATTGGCATTAGAATAGCAGATGTTATTGTAATCTTTCTTTCTTCTAGGGTAGAAATTGTGACAGTAGCATCACAGACAAGGTTATTTGGGAAAGGATGTCCCCAGTCTTCCAACACAAAGGCTTTCTCTGAGTGTCTAATGTCATACCAGGTTATCCATCATTTCAAGCCATGAGATCTATTTTATTTTCTAATAGTATGGAAATTGGGAGGCTTTACACAGGAGTTGTGCAAATCCTTAAGCTCTATCCATCTTATCACATAATTTTATACATAAGTTTGAGAAATTCACAGGAACTCTATATATGATACACTTATCCCATGTCCACCATATTTTTTCTGTGCTTATCTAGTAAAAAGAAGCTTTCTTTTATTTCCACCAAAATTGCTGATTTAAAAGCATTATAAATCATATAATACAATCACACAATTGTAAGGAGCAAAGTATATCTTCATGTATGTAATGATGCAATTAGCAATGCACAACAAAAAACACATCCCTTACTTAGATTAATGGAAAGTTATAGGTTTCACATCCAATTTAAAGAAAAACTTGCACTGAAAAGATTCATTTGTAATTAGAAATGAGGATTGCAGTCCAACATTTCCACCCAAGCAATCCTAGCCATTCTTAAGGGCATATCTTACAGTGGTAAATTTATGAACAGAGATGCTTTCCTGTCCTTCGGCTATTGTGTAAAAGAGCAGATCACTAAGACGTGGCAGCATCCCATTCACTGAGAGGTCCCTGGAGAGAGAAAAACGGGAACAATATATCATCCTTCATCCTCCTCCTCCATCATCATCATCATCATCATCATCATCATCCCATAGCAAGATGTAGGCTTCTTTATTGAAGATTATAGATCATAATCTACCATGGTGTTTCAATGTGGTTTGATAGATGTTTTTCAATTTCCCAGTCTAGGGCTTAGAAAATGTGATTGTCCAAAGTTACCCAGCGAGCTTCCATGCCTAAAGGAGAATTACTGTAGGTCTCGCTTATCCTATATACCAAAATTAATTAATTCCTGGGAAGAGAAGTATCTCTTAAAAGAAAAGAATATGGGCAAATTAAAGCCATGCTACCAAGAGAGACAAGAAACATTTTCCCCACAGGAAAACATAATTCCACACTCAATTTATTCTCCTCATTAGCTCCTACGGGTCTGCTTTTCAGTACTCAGACAATAGAAAAAGTAGATTTCTCCTCACTGAAGTTGGAGAATCACCAGCATCAGGAATGGTTTAGAGCAGTGGTCGCCAACTGGTGGTCCGCGGCTCACTGGTGGTCCGTGAGAAAATTTTGGTGGTCCACAGAGAAATGTCACCCCCAGAGCACCCACCAAAGCAATTAATCCAGTCTGCGCGGGAACACAAGGCCGCACCGCGGAAACCCTCCCTGCCTATTTACTCCTTACCTGGTAAATTTGCCTGCTAAGTTGCTATTTTTTCTTTTTTTTCCCCGACCAACAGCTGTTCTGCTGTGCTGGGAGATTTAGATTAGCTAGAAAGCAGGAAATCATTGGATTTCCTGCTTTCTAGCTAATTTTTATATCTTCGGCTCTTTTAAGCAGAGCTGAACCTTCCTTAGGACTGAAGCAGTGCAGACTCAGATAGCCGATGGCAGAAACACCAATCTCTAAGTGAATCTGTGAATCTGCCTGCGTGCTTTGCCTGATTTTGGGTAAAAGTTGGCTCTTTTTTAAATAAAAAAAATCAATATTTACATACATGGTGTGTTGTGAGATAATTTTGTGAGTTTGCTTGCAAGCAAATTTTATGTGACAGCCTCAGATAGCCAATGGCAGAAACACAGATCTCTAAGTGAATCTGTTATTCTGTAAGCAACTCTACCTGCTTGCCTGCCTTGCCTGATTTTGGGTAAAAATTGCTTATTTTTTATAAAAAAAAACAATATTTATATAAATATTTATAATATTTACATACAAGCCATGCCCAGCCAGTCACATGACAACCAAGCCACACCCACAAATTAGGCCATGCCTGCAGAACCGGTTAGTGGTCCCCAGGATTTAAAATTATGAGTTTGGTGGTCCCTGAGGTCCAAAAGGTTGGCGACCCCTGGTTTAGAGCAAGGTGGATGGGACTGTACAAGGGATCAATTTTTTTGTTATTTATAATACCATTAAAGTAGTATCTACATTATTTTAATATAATGAATGTTTGGGGTTTGATAAACACCTGAAACTGCATGGGGTCAAAGTTAACTATGTAGGCTACTTATCAAGACCCTTCTGACTCAGGAATTCTGGGAGTCTATGCTGTTCCAAATACTGAAATGCCTCCTCACCAGGAATGCTGGGGTAGCTCTCCCAGTCTAACCATTTAGTTTCCATTCTCTCTATTGTCATAGGCCACGGGAACACAAAACAGACAATAAGGTAGTTAAGGGAGGAAGGAGAGTGGCACAGAAGAGATTCTTCAATCCCAGGGAAGCATTAGAAAGAGAGTAATTCTGCCTTAATTACACTAGATATAAGTTGTGCAGAAAAATTACTGGGCTATGCTTTTAAGATTCTGTTGTATTGCTATATAAACAATAAAGATTTTTTCTTTTAAAAACAGTCTTTTGTTTCCCATGGAACTTGACAGCTACAGTATCTACAAAACTCTAAACTGGCTTTTGCTTTTTAGTCATAAAGGTGGATTCAAAAATATCCCCGTATTTTTTTTTATTCCTGAAAAATCCATTATACTCCATTCTAATTCATGTTTAATAATTATTTGGTACTTAATTGACATGGCCAGTTGTTTTTATCTCTCCATCTTTATTAATTTATTTCTGGCAAGTTGTTGTAATAAATTTGATCATTATCTATATAACACATTCAGTTCCAGCATCTTATTTAATATACAAAAAATTGCAAGAATCAGGGGAAAAGAAGAAAAATAATAATTAAGCCTTAGAGATAGTTGAGATATAAATTGTACAGTGGATAATAATTCATTATGTTCCAATGCTATTATTTTATTATTTATTATTTAAAATTAGTTTGAAGGAAAAATAATTTCTAGATGAATGAATTTAAAACAAAAAAGCTTACTTAAAATGTTTTTCAGAAATGCATGGGTTCTAAAAAAGTAAAGAAGCATGCCACTGTAATATTGATATACAGGTGAAACTCGAAAAATTAAAATATTGTGCAAAAGCTCATTTATTTCAGTAATGCAACTTAAAAGGTGAACCTAATATATGAGATAGACTCATTACATGCAAAGCAAGATAGTTCAAGCCGTGATGTGTCATAATTGAGATGATTATGGCTTACAGCTCATGAAAATCCCAAATCCACAATTTCAGAAAATTAGAATATTGTGAAAAGGTTCAATATTCTAGGCTCAAAGTGTCCCACTCTAATCAGCCAATTAAGCCATAACACCTGCAAAGGGTTCCTGAGCCTTTAAATGGTCTCTCAGTCTGGTTCAGTGGGAATCACAATCATGGGAAAGACTGCTGACCTGACAGTTGTGCAGAAAACCATCACTGACACTCTCCATAAGGAGGGAAAGCCTCAAAAGGTAATTGCAAAAGAAGTTGGATGTTCCCAAAGTGCTGTATCAAAGCACATTAATAGAAAGTTATGTGGAAGGGAAAAGTATGGAAGAAAAAGGTGCACAAGCAGCAGGGATGACTGCAACCTGGAGAGGATTGTTAGGAAAACGCCATTCAAAAGTGTTGGGGACTTTCACAAGGAGTGGACTGAGGCTGGAGTCAGTGCATCAAGAGCCACCACACACAGACGGATCCTGGACATGAGCTTCAAATGTTGTATTCCTCTTGTCAAGCCGCTCCTGAACAACAAATGTCAGAAGCGTCTTACCTGGGCTAAAGAAAAACAGAATTGATCTGTTGCTTCAGATGACAGAAACTTTTGCATCTCATTTGGAAACCAAGGACCCAGAGTCTGGAGGAAAAATGGAGAGACACACACTGCAAGATGCTTGAAGTCCAGTGTGAAGTTTCCACAGTCTATGTTGATCTGGGGAGCCATGTCATCTGCTGGTGCTAGTCCGCTGTGCTTCATTAAGTCCAGGGTCAATGCAGCCGTCTACCAGAACATTTTGGAGCACTTCATGCTTCCTTCTGCAGATGAGCTTTATGGGGATGCTGATTTCATTTTCCAGCAGGACTTGGCACCTGCCCACACTGCCAAAAGCACCAAAATCTGGTTCAATGACCGTGGGATTACTGTGCTCGATTGGCCAGCAAACTCGCCTGACCTGAACCCCATAGAGAATCTATGGGGCATTGCCAAGAGAAAGATGAGAGACATGAGACCGAACAATGCAGAAGAGCTGAAGGCCGCTATTGAAGCATCCTGGTCTTCCATAACACCTCAGCAGTGCCACAGGCTGATAGCTTCCATGCCAGGCCGCACTGAGGCAGTAATTGCTGCAAAAGGGGCCCAAACCAGGTACTGAGTACATTTGCATGCTTATACTTTTCAGAGGTCCGATATTGTTCTATGTACAATCCTTGTTTTCTTGATTGCATGTAATATTCTAATTTTCTGAGATTGTGGATTTGGGGTTTTCATGAGCTGTAAGCCATAATCATCTCAATTATGACACATCACGGCTTGAACTATCTTGCTTTGCATGTAATGGGACTATCTCATATATTAATTTCACCTTTTAGGTTGCATTACTGAAATAAATGAAATTTTGCACAATATTCTAATTTTTCGAGTTTCACCTGTAATAGACACTAATCAATATACATTCAGGTACCTGCCCGTTGAATTGCACATAAAATGTGAAAAAGGAACACAAAATACAAGAATAACAGCCTTGCACAACAAGTGGCAAAAAAAGATTATGTTTAAAAAACCTCCAATATTTCTCAAGAACTTCAAATGTTATTTGAGTGTTAGAAAAATGCATCCAAAAGTAAAATACGTATTTCTATTTCTACAGAATCAAACTGCAATCAGATCATGCATCCTACAGAAACACAATCACTGTCATTTAATACTTGGTAGAGATTTTATGCCCTGGAAAAAAATCCCCCAAAGTATTAACCACGCCGGATATATTTTAGATCATAAAATAGCGCCAAGGCTCAGTTTGTTTCTCCTTTTCCATAGCTGCATTTTGGATCAAATGCAATTCCGCTGCTGAGGAGATGTTTCTATGGCAGCCAGCATTTCTGCTGGGAACAGCCTCAGATCTTACTGCCCAGACTGGCAGAAGTGAAGAGGCTTAGCATGTCATAGAACATGAAATGCCAAAAACCAATAGGCACCAATTAAAAGACAGTGAAAATGACTTCTGAATATTTAGAGAATTTAGTCAGAAAGCTTAATGTTTCTTTTGTGTCTTGGACTGAAAACTCTCTGTGGCTGCGCAGGCAGTGTGAAGCTCTAGTTGCTTTTAAAAGAAAAAGAAAAAAGAATCGCTGAATGAAACAAATTAAAAAGCTGGCACTCTGCTCTGGGCAAAGTTTCCTTTACAATCCCATCTCCTCTGCCTCTCCACTTCATTTACTTGACTGAACAAATAAATAAATCTGGAGTACAGGTAATCCTCGACTTACGACCACAATTGAGCTCCAAAATTATGTTGTTATGTGAGACATTTGTTAAGTGGGTTTTGCCTCACCTTACGACCTTTCTCTCCACAGTTGTTAAGCGAGTCACTGCAGTTGATAAGCTAGTAACCCAGTTGTTAAGTAAATCTGGCTTCCCCATTGATTGTCAGAAAGCCGCAAAAGATGATCACCGTTCACGGATCAAGGTGAATGGTCTTAAGTATGAATCAATTGCCAAGCTGATCACATGATCATAGGGAGATGGTAATTGTGAAAAACGGTCATAGGACACTTTTTTCAGTGCCGTTGTAAATTTGAATGGTCACTAAGAGAACTGTTGCAAGTCAAGGACTACCTGTAGCAGGCAAGCCCCATTTGTTCCTTGGTGCCAATGTGAAAAAATAGTTTGGGCTCTCACACCCCCTGGATCTATCCCGTGGAGAAAGTTGGCTAGTACAAGGCAAGAGGCTGCACTCCAAGGATTGGGATTAAAGTGATCTTGCACATTTGGCCATTGGGAATGACCAGAGACCACCCCCCTCTGATTTAAGATCCCCCAAACTACAGCGTGACAAGCGATAGCCCTTACTGGTCAGTGAGGCGCTGTTTAGGCTGCTGCGGCTGCTGGTGACGGCCATTCATCACCGCCTCTCTCCCTCCGGCGGAGTAGGGGGCTCTGCCCAAAGCCACGGGAAGGACCAGCTCCAAACCGTGCCCTCTTCTCCAGTGGCGCCGGATCTCCCGAGGCTGCAGCGCTCCTGTCATGATCCTGAGAGCGCCCATGACGGCAGCCGATGCCTTCGGCTCTCCAGATCGGGAGCGCACCTTGAAGGTACGGGGAGGAAGCGACAACGCCCCTTTAAAAAGAAAAACATCAGGCCGGCGGTTTCCAAAAGGGGAAGGAGGGGCGAGGAGGAACTCCAGCCAATCAGCAAAACAACGATTTTTAAGGAACTATAGTAAACCAATGAGGAATGGCTGGAGGAAGGGGCTGTGCATTTCCTACCCTCCAAAGGTAGGGTAGGAAAATACAGACAATGCTTCTTGGGTCTCTAGAGGTAGCCCCTCTTTCAGTGACCCGAGGAGACTACAAATGATATAGGTATCTTTCATCTCTCACTGTTTGGGATAGAGAGGTACTACTAACATGATTCTTCCTTGGAATGTTAGGGAGGCAGCTTGTATGAAAGTTGCTCTCCACCTGCTTACACTTGCTGGAGAGTCATTAATAAGGTGCTAATTTTGATAGTGGTAGTGAAATTTATGGGTATATAAAATTTCTGTACTTTTTGGACTTTTTAAAATCCTGCTTTCATGGTTTTTATAAGTAACTTCAGGTGGCAAATTTACCCAATATTCCAAGAGTCTTCAAACTTGGCAAGTCTAATACTTGTGGACTTCAACTCCCAGAATTCCTGAACTAACATGACTGGAAGAAGAATTCTGGGAGTTGAAGTCCACAAGTCTTAAAGCTGTCAAGTTTGAAGACCCCTGTTTTGTTTCCCAAAACAACAGGTAAGTTGGGCTGAGAGAGAGTGACTGGCCCAAAGTCATCCAGCCGGCTTTACAAGTTTGAAGGTCTCTTCGTTGAAGGCTATGGACTTCACTCCATTGTGCTGGTTCAGTGTGGGTTGATAGATGTTTTTATTCCGGCTTCCTAGTCTATGGTTGAGAGAAAAGAATTGGCTCCAAATCACCCAGATGGTTTCTATCCTTAAGGGAGGAATAGAGGCTGGCTTTCCTTGTTTCTAATCCAACACCTTAACCACCGCACCATGTTGGTTTTTAATATACATTTGCAACTGTGTTAATATGTGTATGTTGATTATGGTTATGGAATTAGCATTTTCCGGGGTTCATGTGACACAAGCAACCCTATCCCAACATATGGCTTCATTTATACAACACTCATGTCTGTAATATGATGGACTAAAGTGTCATTCATTGTGTGATACAAAACCTGTTTCCATCTGTCAGTTGTTCTATTGAATATGTTGATATTCTTAAATTATTAGGTTCATGCATTGCAGTGAAAGTTGGATTATGATGGAAGGCTCCATGTTGGGCTGTTTTCAACATGTTTTCTTCATGTGGCCAGTTTCTTGAATAATCTTGATACCTATCTTCTTCTCTTGAATTAAATTCATGCTATACCATATGTTTCAATGTTCTACCAAGTTTTTAAAAAATACAATTTTTCTTCCATTACTTCTACGGAATGTGTATCTTGCATTTTCCTAGAATCTCAATGTCTCCTTTTATACAATACATAAGAACAAAATGATAGTCTCTGACCCTCATCCCCTACCTCACTACTGCCAAGGGAGTAGATTAAAGTCTAAAATAAAGATATGCTACCTTAGAGTTATTTAATGTATTATGGAAGAAGGATTTTTATTGATTTTTTTTATAAAATCAGAAACATTTTATTTTTTAAATTGTTATATTACTCTATAGAATACAAATAGCCAAGTAAAGTGGTATATCTATCTATATATCTATATCTGCTATGAATCTAATTTAAAAGCGAAATACCACTCACACATCACCACAAAATCTTCAGAACTGCAAAGCCTACAAACTTGAAATTTGGCACGTATGTTCCTTTTAGCTTCTAGGTGCTCAGTAAGAAAGGATTTTTCGAAATGACCATCAGAGCATTAGTACTTCCTATATTATTATTAACATGCTCTGATGCTAAGGAGTTCTACTCCCCCTCCCCACTTGAAAAGAAATCTGTTCCAAATGTAAAACACAAGCAGAGGAGAGGAGTTTCAGTTTCAGTTTTTACTTTCACAGCAGCAATCAGCTTTAGTACAGAACAGTTGACCTAAGCCATGTTCAGGCTCCTTGCTGTCTCCTTCTTGCTCACGCAGCAAATACATGTTTCAGTTTCCAAACAGCCCTCAACTCTCTCACACACTGACAGGACACTAGCCAGATGAATATCGATGGATGCTGATAGGCAGAGGCACAATTTTTTCCCCTTATTTTCCTCCTAAAAAACTAAGCCCAATCACATAGTTTTGTAGCGAAGCACGGGTATAGAGCTAGTATATAATAGGAACTAGAAGATATTAACACCATAATGATTAAACTGTCTTTCAAAATAGAAAATGTATATCAATGATAAATAAGATTTCCGAGATGTAAATGGACAGAGCTGCTCAAATTATACAGTTGATGCTGAATATTACAAGTTGCAAATTATGCTGAATTATTTTATAATATGAACGTTTAGATCTTTGAGATTAATACCAAAGTCTCCACTGTATTTTTAATTATGAAAACTAAAAGAAAAGAAGAAAAGAAAAGGGGTGATGAGGGGTTGAAACAGATGCTTACAGCTTCAGTGATAAACTTTGCCCAATGTTGGAAGAAAGATGCAACACCTATGATATTCAATTGAGAATAAAATGTGGAGGACATATGGCAATGAAACTAGAGAGTCCTTGACTTACAGCCATTCATTTAGTGGTTGTTCAGTACTGAAAAAAAGGACTTATGATTGCTGCTCATTTTTATAATCATCACAGCCTCTCCATGTCATAGGATCAAAATTCAGGCAATTGCCAACCAGCATGTATTTACAATGGTTGCAGCATCCTGGGGTCAATTGTTAGCACTGTGATTTTTCCCAGATGCCTTCTGATAAGTAAAGTCAATGAGGGAAAGCCAGATTTGCTTAATTACCATCTCATTTGCATAACCCCTGCAGTGATTTGCTTAACAACCATGGCAAAAGTATAAAATTGGGCATGATTCACTTAACAACTGCCTTGCTTAGCAACAGAAATTATGGTCGCAATTGTGCTGGTAAGTCAAGGGTAACTGTACAGCCTATGTTCACAATATAAGCTTATCCAAATTCAAGAAAGAATGGCTTCTATTCATAGAATCCATCATGCAGCAAAGCAAATGCAAATATTTACAGTTTGGTTTTTAAGAGGGCTTAAATATTTGTATACACATGGATGCAGAGAAGAGGGAAGTTAGAGATTAATTATCCACTTTTTAAAAGCAGCTTTGTTCTTTAACTTACAGTATTGAATATCCAGTACAGGTGCTTCTTGACTTAGAATAGTTCATTTAATGACCGTTCAAAGTTATAACGGCACTGAAAAAAAGTGACTTACAAATGTTGCAGTATCCCCATGGTCACATGATCATAATTCAGACACTTGGCAATTGACTCATGTTCATAACGTCCTGGGGTCACGTGATCCCCTTTTGTGATCTTCTGACAAGCAAAGTCAATGGGAAAGCCAGATTCACTTAACAACCATGTTACTAACTTACCAACTGCAGTGATTCACTTAACATCTGTGGCAAGAAAAGTCCTAAAATGGGGCAAACCTCACTTAACAAACATCTCACTCAACAACATACATTTTGGGCTCAGTTGCGGTCATAAGTCAAGGACTACCTGTATGGATACAAAAGACACGTGAGAGGACAGTTGGGGTCAGAGGTTGGCTTTAAAATGTAACACAAAATCTTGCAGTTGCTTGTAATCAAAATGGCCATTCCTGAAAAGATAATTCTGTCTGAATGGTGTAATTTCCAATACTATGTTACAGGGGTGGGATTCTACCGATTTGGGCCGTTTTGAGCGAACCGGATGTTAAAGTTACATCTGGTTCGCCAAACCAGTATTTCAACCGACTGGCTGCCCGCCCCCACCCCCACCCCAGGAGTCTCCATTTTCGATGGAGGTCTGTGTGGAGGCTCTGGGAAGGGGGAAAATGGAAGTCCAGACATGGGCCTGTTTCCGGAGGGCCTCCAGAGCCCAAAGGAGGCCATTTTCGCCCTTCCAAAGGCCTGGGGGAAGCCTCTGAACCTTTGGGAAGGCGAAAAACAGCCCTCCCGGAAAAACCGGAAGTTGTGAAATGGACCTGTTTCCGGCTTCCGGAGGGCCTCCAGAGCCAGGGGGAAGCTATTTTTGCCCTCCCAAAAGCGTGGGGGGAAGCCTCCGAATCCTTGGGAGGGCGAAAACAGCTTTTCCTGGGCTCTGGAGGCCCACTAGAAGCTGGAAACAGGAAGTTCTGGTAGGCCACGTCCACCATGGCCATGCCCCCAGCCACCGGACAGCGAACCGGTTGCTGGGATTTTTGAATCCCACCCCTGCTATGTTAAGTTGCTTTAGCTTCTTACTCATAAATTCAGATCATAAAAATTGGGGGCAATAACATTCTCTAATGCAGGGGTGTCAAACTCATGTCACAATGGCGTCATGTGACATATCAGGACTCCCCCACTTTGCTAAACTGGGTGTGGCCACCTGGTCCACAGGCTGGGAGTTTGATAGCCCTGCTCTAATGAGATTCAACCAGTGTTTATAGCTTTGCAGTCATTGGTGGTGGTGGGGGGAAACGTGATTCCTTTCTCTGGCCTTAGGGAGGAATACTGTGTAAAAACACTTAGTATCTCCTCACAGTCATTTCATTCATCAAAGGAATGTTTCCCCTCCCTTGTCATGAGACCCATTGCCTGTGAGGAAACCATGTTAGCAGTAGGGAAGACCAAAAAGAGAAAGGGGGATGATCAAGTACAAGTGGCTGCAACCCAACTACGTCCTTTCAATTCCCACTGTCACAACGTATTATCTTTTTTAAAATCCTTTTTCTCTCTTTCCATCTCTTATTTCCCTGATTCCTTTTGGCTGCCAGATACCAAGGTCACTTGTGCTCAAGGGCTGATCTCACCCCGCAAGACAGATTTTTGTAATTAGGATTAATTGCTAATCTCTTCTCTGGTTTAAAAGGGTTGTACCTGGCATTATAGATATACTTTTCACACAGTGAGCTATACGGGTGGTCCTCAACTTATGACCACAGTTAGGGCTG